ACTCACTGTTATGTTCAAGAAAGCAGTTTGAGATGATTTGACCTTTGTGACGTGGTCACAAAGGTCACATGGTCAGCAGCAATATTCAAAAAGGCTGTGACAGTCAAACCATGCTCAACTGACAGTAAGGGGCCCAAAGTTGTCTGATTTTGGGGAACCCGTGTGAATTGTAGCCTCAGTTTTCTGTTCTTAGCTGTGAGGAGTGACACCTAGTGTGGTCTTCTGCTGCTGTAACCTATTTGCTTCAAGGTTAAAGGTGCTGTGCGTTCAGAGATGCTCTTCTGCATACCTTGGTTGTAACAACCCCTTCCTATCAGCTTGAAGCAGTGTAGCATCTCTGCAAACTCTATAAACCCTAGAGATTGTTGTGTGGGAAAATCCCAGTTGATAATCAGCCACCAACAACCATACCGGCTTCAAAGTCATTAAAACAGCCTTTGTTCTCCATGGCGATGCTCAGTTGAACTGAGTTGAGCTCAGTGAACTTCGGCGGCTCGTCTTGACCGTGTCCGAATCCCTGCGTGCACCGAGTTGCTGCTGCAATTGACTAATAAGATATCTGCACAGGTGTACCTAATGAAATGGCATGTGTGTTCACCTGTTACCGACGTGACCTACAGTGGCTTTAGGTGCATCTTTACATGTGGCCGTGCTCACGTTCAGTTGTAGCAGCGTGCAGTGTGAGGCAGTGTGTGTCAGTCTAAGCACACTGGGTGAGAGCAGCTCCTGCACTACACTCACACAGTGTTGTGAACACGTGCAGTGCAGTGTGTGAGCACTGTTTTTTTTGTCTGTTTCAGCAGCTGAAGCCATTTTAAGACATGGCACACTACTGATATTTGCATTCTATTTTTGAGAGCTGCGAAAGGGTTCTAGCAGCGGTGGTGTAAAAAAAAGTCCCACGAGTGTGTGTGTGTGTGGGTGTGTGTGTGGGGCAGGGTAGAGGGGGGATGTGGGCAGTTGCTATTTGACGAAACAAAAGGGATGGAGACTTAAATGTAAACACTAGAACACTTTCTTAGTTTTTGAGAAAGTTTTTGTTTCTTTTGTTTCTTTGCTTAATTTCTTTAGATATTAAAAACAGCTTCTATAAATATTCACACAATTCCCGTCTTCCTGTTAACGCCTTCAGAGCATACGGCGCATACATCAGCGCACCTCAGTCTTCTGTTTAAGGCTGTAGGTTGTGAGAACAGATACAAGCAGCAACAACAGTTGACGTTACACAAATGTGGGAAACCTCTATCCTCTCGAGAGGCTTTGCTCCACATCATCAGGCTTTCTCTGTGGTGGGACGATATTTGCATTGCATGCAAAAAACCGTCACTGCCCTCTTGTGGAAACATCTCGAGGATCAGCGGCGTTTTCGTGGGCCCTTAAATCTCGGCTCTGTCGAGGTCTCCCACCAGTCAAACATTGCATCGGAGGGATTTAGAAACCTTTGAGAAGGTGTAGATGTTACTCATATTGCTAAGTCATACGTGTAAATGCAACTTTCCTTAAACCAAGGGAAACATAGATTTACATCAAAGTGAGGCACTGGCATCCACCAGGATTTAATTTCTATTGTTGAACTGATTTTAAAGGTTTTCATTCTCATAAAATCATTCCCACTTTAATTTAGTTCAGAAGTCCAACTTTTATTTTGACATTTAAGTTCATTCAAATGTTTATGTTTTTTCACATCTAGTTTCAGTTTGTAGTTTAGTTTTAGTTAACTATGATAACCTTGACTTTTAAGTTTTGGAGATGTTTTAAAGGAAATATTTGACAAATGGAAAGGTGCAGTACAGACACTCCTATAAGTCTATGCATTCATTTTAGTGACTGAAATTCTAGTATTTCATTATTATGTTAATGGCTGTACAGTCAATAAGCAGCAACTAAATAAAGATTTAAAAATGAATTAAAAATAAATTATATATAGTCAGTATCCTTTTTCAGATTCCCTATTAGATCGTTATGTGTGGACAAAACCAAGGTTAAGCAGTTATACAGCAGGTTTGATGGTGAACGGGAGGATAGCAGCCCTGGATACAGACAGTGAGATGTGCAAAGTAAAAGTATCAAGGATGGAGAAAGTGACTTTGATAGACAGTCCGGCAAACAGACATTCAAGGACAGAACAGAAAGTGGGGAGTATTAGCAGGTACTCTAACAGGCAAGCTGTAAACTGGAGCCACAAATTGGCAGACGTGAAGCAGCCAATCTCTTTGCCTTGGCATTACATAGACAGTCAATCATTCAATGAATTCTCTCCTTCACTGCTGAGACGCTGTCCAGCACTGAGAGGCTTTTTCCCTGAGTCACGCTGAGCTGATTTTAGAGCATTGCAAAACAATTTCTGTTGGCACTTTTTGAGATGTAAAATGTATCTTTTATTGCAGAGTTGCCTTTAAATAAATACTGACAGAGAGCAGGAAGGCAGAACTCGACATCGCTGTCATGTCAGGTATGTTAGCGATGTGAAAACAGCATTTCACACCTTTACATTTACAAAAAAGAGAAAAGTCAAGCTTGAAAGGTTTTGTTTTGGATGAAACTCTCAGAGGAGGTCAGCTGAGGTTATGAGCAGTGCATTGTGGTCTTTAAAGATATTTCACTAGCCGGGCCCACGTCCTCATTTTAGTTTTGACGGCATTTTAGTAGATATTAGGTGAATGCTTGGACATGAATTGAGCTGCAGTTTGGGGAAGGCCTCGAAGGGGACTGGCGACGACTCCCGGGCCTGGCAGATCCCCGTGTACTAAATAGGAATGAAGAAGTTATAGAATTGAGAACAAGGAGGGAGGGTGGGGCACGTAAACGAGAATGAACAGTTTGCAGAACTGGGGGGAACTTATATAGATGACAACTGGAAAGAGCGTGTTTGGAGGCGTGGTCCCGCTCCTGAAATTCCGATACATAATCTCCAAATCCCAACTTTCCCTTGGATATGTTGCTGTTTGTCTGAGGCCTTTTGCATGTTGAAATTTGAAATGTGCATGTTGTTCACTCACTAGCTAGACAGACAAGACCAAAGTGGTGCCTCAAAGTAAATCAACATGTTTAAGACATTACTCACACACTTCTCTTGAGATCCCACCACAGCATTTCAATCAAGTTGAGGTCTGGACTTTTTATTCTTTTGCTGCCATTCTGGTGTAGATTTGCTGCTGTGCTATAAAACATTGTGTTTTTGTCTCATCTTGTTTCATGTTTGACTCTAGAACACTTTGACCCCTCGAGGTGTTCATGGTTGACACAATGACAGCAATGTGCTCAGGTCCTGTGGGTGCAAAACAAACCCAAATCTTCACTCCTCCACCGCCGTGATTGACAGTTGGTGTGAGGTGTTTGTGCAGATATGCTGTGTTTGGTTTTCTCCAAATGTGCTGCTGTGGATTAGAGGCAAACCATCTCCACGTTGGTCTTGTCTGTCCAAAGGACATTGTTCCACGGGTCTTGTGGTTTGTTCAGATGCAACGTTGGAAGCCATGCTGCTATGTTCTTTTCAGAGAAGAGGCTATTTCCTGGCAAGCCTTCCAAAAAGCCATACATGTTCAGTCTTTTTCTAATTGTACTGTCATGAACTTTAACAGTTAACATGCGAGCTGAGTCCTGTCAAGTCTGAAATCTAACTCTTATGTTTTTTTGCAGTTTCACTGCACATTGCACGGTCTGCTCTTTAGGTGAACTGGCTGACAGGTCAACTCCTGGGAAGATTGGACTACACCTAAATAGTCCAGACATGCAAACCACTAAAACTTCTGTTTTTATAGAGCTGCTCATACGTACTGATCACTGATGATCAGCTAAAAGAGTGCACTTGATTAGCGTCACCTAGCTAATACTTACCGCCCCGATTCCTGTAGAAGCAGTTAGGATAGTCCTAGTTTTTCACAGGAATGGATATAGCCATGTGGAGCTTTGTGTCCCCACATGATTTTATGTTTTGTTTTTCTTATTTTGCTAATAATTTATTGAATAACTAAGTCATTAATCCTGGTAAAATGTTTTGTATTTATAATGGTTGATCTTGTATACTGGATATTGTCTTTGCAGCTTGTACCACATACTAATCAATAATACAGTTGTTATGGTAATTACCTGGCTCTTGTTAAAAAACAGAAGAAGAGCCGAGTTTTTAGATTTGCAACAACACTTTGTGAAATAGTCCAATGGTAATAAAGCAATCAAACTTAATAATTTAAATGTATTGTTGTTTATTGTTAGCAGCTGAGTCTTTCGTATAAAAATTAAAGAAATCTGATAAAAGGATTTCCAGAGCGAACCAGCAGATTTGATTTAAACAGTTACTTTAGCACATTTAATGAAGCCTTGGAAAATTTTACTTTCATCAAAGTATATAGCCTGACATCAGTATAACAGTATATTATCATTTCAATAGCAAAACTGCTCAGGTTTAATGTCTGTGATGCAAAGTAACTGGAACAGGGCACGTGCCAAGTTACTGTGGATGATTGATCTATTTTGGTTTTTTGACGAGTCGCTAGATAGAAACTCAAGTTTGGGTTCATATCCCCATGTGTGGTTGGTTAAAAACAACTTAATAGTACATGAAAGGTTTCCCTTTTCCCATGTTTTGATACCAGGCTTATCTTCTAAACCATGAATGAAAATCCACTTTTTCTTCAAGCAATATTAGCATAGCTTCTTTAAATATATAAGTTATTGTTCTAAAAAGCTGATTCTAAGAGAAATGTTTGTTTTTTAATGGAATAGCCCAGATATGCTAGTCTGTACATCATAATCATACAGTTCATGGCTGAGCTTGGCAGCATGAGCAAGATCCTCTTGTCCAAGTTCCCTTAAAAAAAAAAAAAAAAAAAGGCCAACAATTATACAGCGCTTTGAGTACTCCGGGAGAGTAGAAAAGCGCTATATAAGAATCAGTCCATTTACCATTACCAGTTGATCAATAGCTGACAGTGTGGTGATGGTCGATCTTTCAGACCACCTGCATTCTCTTCACTTATGCAAACAAACATCAAACCGTCTTTACTGTAGGAGTGGCACCATGTAGACTTTATTTTCAGGCTTTAAAATCACACAGTATCTATAGTACCATAGATAAAACCAGGAAATAAATAAATCGTAATACTACAGTAGCACATTAAAAAGACACATTTCATGTTACAAGTTTAGTTTCCACCGTTACTGAGTAAGTACTTGAAAGGGGGAGATGTTTCAGTGCATACGCAGCACAACAGTGCGCATGCATGGACTGCCACACACGTGCCATGGACGTGGCCCATGTGTCCTTGAGGTTTACCTACGCCAGAATGTTACAATACAGCTCACATGTTTCATTTCACTGTAATGCAGTCATTCCACAATGCGTTTGTCCATTAACTCACATGTTAACGACTGTGTCACATGTTAAAAATGTTGCGTTAAAGTATTCGCCACTTGGTTTAGAGTAGCTTAGGCCTCCTTCAAGCAGACAAAATCTCAAGTAAATCTTCAGCACGAGTCCAAAATGCGTGACATTAAATTAAGTTTCCCCTGTAAGGTGAATAATAGAGTTCAGCAGCTAAACTGTAAAAGTGGACTTCTCCACGTAGATACACAAACAGTCCCTGCACATTCCTTTCCCCCTGTTGTTTGTCCAGTTTGGAAAAAAAAAAAAAACCTTCGCTTTTTTTTCGGTGAGTCGAAGTAGATTGCAGATTGTTCTCTGTGTGCTTATGGAAATAAGGTTACTGTGTTTGGAAGAAATGTGACCACTTACCCTCCAAAACCTTAAAACACTACAATAGGGAGGGAATCAGCAGTCTGTCTGCACTTGACAGGAACGTGTATGATTTCAGGGTGGCACAGGCTGATCTGCATCTAGCCGTCCAGAGGTTTTCCCAGGTACACCATGGTGACTTCAGTGTTGCCGTATACTGCAGACACAGCAGGGAACAGGCAGGTTTTGGGCAGTCCACGGAAAGCCACTCCAAGAAACTCAAAACCTCTCTCAAAGGCTAACGTCTTGTCATCCATGTCTAGAATCACTCGTATTCTCTCCCCGATCTGTGGACAGGCACGGTCACATCAGGAGTTATAATCATGTTTTCACTTGTACTCTTTACACAATTTCCTTTTAAAACGTCATTTCAAATCTCGACTCCTACCTGATATTTAGGTGCATTGTTACACTGGGGGAAATTCCCGTTGACTTCTCCGTTGTGAAGCAGGTTATTGTCGACCAGGTTCCAGCCCCAGCTCTGGTCATCGCTGCCCAAGAGGGCTACGTAGCCCTGGCACTGCATCTGCGCCCGCTTCGTAGCGATACCTATCACTGCCACGGTGCCCAGGGGGCCCTCCCACCAGATTTCCCAGGCATGTCGCCCTTCCGAAAAGCCGATTTTGCCCCGCGCGCCGTCTGTGCTCTGGGCAATAGGGTTGCGGTGCAGAGTGAAGCCGTTCTTCTTCACGTAAACGTTGCGGGAGCAGTCGTGGGAGCTCAAAGCATGCTGAAAGGCCTTGAGCTGCACAGGAAGACAGTTACAGTTAACAAAATCACAGACACTTGCTGGGAAATCTAAATATTTGTAAGGGGGAAAAAGTTCTGTGAAGCATGCATACAGAAGAAGAGACATGCTACTCCACTTTCCATCTCGCAGGACGCTCATTGCACCATTCAGAGGTGCAGAGCTCAAATATTTTTCATAAGAATGTAGGTCGTGTTTCTAAAAACACTTTGGAACAAATGAATGAGCGTCCTTAGACTGACATTGGACACAGACAAGTTGTTCTCATTCAAACCTTACTTTCATGCCATCAACACTCCTATAAACAGTCTCCATACACAGACTGCTTAGAACAGGTTTTGTTCTATTATGCAACAATAGACTGGAGAGTCAGTTCAATATGGACTCCAGTGATAAGCCCAATGGCAACAAAACATCTGCTCTACACCTGCTCAGTGTGATCACCAACTGAAAGACAATAATACAACAAGCAGGATTCAGTTTTATGCCCATTTATGTCTTATATTTCATTGAATACGTTAAAAAGCACTAGATTACGCTGACATTCAGTAATGTTTATGGCTACACTGTGCCTTTGTGTAAAGGCATAATCAAACAGGTAACCCCAGGATAGAGGGATGTGTACTGGTAAACCTACTTTGCCCTTGTAGGTGGGCAGGTTACAAAGGATGTCAGACCGCAGAGCCTCGTCGCTCAGAGTCCGGCTGCAGAGGCTGCGCCACACCTCGCTGTTTTCATCCGCCAGGATATTGTTCCAGTGCCAGCAGACCAGCGAACACCGCATCAGGTCAGTCAGCTCCAGGTAGGAGAAAACATGCTCCAAAACCCTCGCTGGTAGCCTCCCCGCCACCCCTGCGCCTCCTCCGGCTGCAGCCGCATATGGAGAGCCGGTGGAGCTGCAACTGGCTGCCGCTGCTGCGCCCAAGCAGGAGGAGCCTCCTCCCCCACCCGCCGCTCCAGACATTATGCCCCTGCTCTTCACCGACGACGCCAGCTGAGCGAGTAGTTTCACCGTACACCGCAAGACGGTTCCTAATATGAGCTCGGCAGCAACATTTTTAACCTGTGAAAACCCCACACGTAGATCGCGCTAAAACCACAACAGTATACGGACCCGACTCTTCCCACTTCAATGGCTGAATGGAAACGATGCGTCAAGGTCCTCAAAGGGCACGAAGCACTAATTGTCCCGTTGTCACAGAAACGCGAAAATTATTTCGGAAGAAACAGTGGTCAGTTTAAGAAGTAAGCAAAGTCTCCCGAGTCCGGAGACGACGAGATATTAGATAAAGCAACAGTCACGCTCGAGTCAAATAAATTTTACCGCCTGCAAGGACCGCAGAGCCGACATAATGAGTTCAAGGAGGGTTGCTACACAGTACTGTTGCAGTGTTGCGATACTGGACGTTACACCGCTGCAACGTCAAAAGTGTTGTGATTGTGTCGCAAAAAATACGAACCGTATTAAAAGACGATGCAGTTGTTTACCAATAAAAGGCGTTATCTGACCTGTTACGTCATGTTGGTTGGATTTGATAATTATTTTCAGATCGTGTTTGACGGAAAACTAATGATAATAGTTTAAAAAGAACTACTGGTGTTTTCATTGTTTAACATGGGATTTACACGTTGTTGAAAGAAAACAAAACCGGCATCTTATATAAAGTAGACTATATTATTTTATTTTTTAATTTGTATACCACGTGACACCACGGAAGTGACGCGGGGTGCTCAAAAGAGTTAAGCAAAGCATCTGGGAGCAAAACAGCAGTTAGCTTTATTTCATTTTAACCCACAAGACCGGAGAAGGTGACTAACTGACGGTCAAAGCAGCTAACAGTAAGTTGTTGTGGGTTTTTGTTATCGGGACATAAAGATATGCGTGTTATCTGGTAACGGGACAGGCTGCACCGCTTGACACAGCTGTCTGGCTGCCTGCCTCCTGTGCTATGCGGCCTGCTTGACGAGCTGTCCCCCATCTGTCTGCTGTCCGGGGACACTCCGGCGGCTTCGCGCGGTCAGACAGGTGATTAGCGGGTCAGCGTGTAAAGCAACGCTCACCTACGGCGCCAAACAGGCTAGGCTAACTGCAGGTGGTGGAGATCGTGAAGCTTGTGAGCTAAGCTAGCTGATGGTAACAAAGCCCCGCTGCGTTCACCTTTCCAAATTCTTCTACTTCAGGTTGCCATCTTAATTTTTGCAGGCGACGTATCGAACGTCATGTTTTGAGAGGGCACATGTTACTGCCGAGGGTTTGTGCTTGGAAGGCGAAAGCAGCCTTTAAGACTTACCGATGAGCAGCACATATTTAGATTTTAGTCTAAGAAAACATCCAGGAAAAAAAAAAAAACACCAAACAAACAGAAACGCATAGCTTCACACCTCTCTCGCCCCTGTCGTCCGCTGTGTTTGGGTGAAAGAGTATAGTTAAAGTAACACAAATAAAGCCGAATTGCTAAATGATGTTGTTCCTCTCTCTCTCTTTGAAAATTTGAAGTTTTGATTAATTTCAGTTTCCTATAGAGTCAGCCTATCAAATAAACTGGAGTTAAATCGGGATTCAATTGTAGCGTGACTGTGCTTATAGCAACCCGAGTAAGTGTAATTGTGAATTTATATTTACCAGAGTCCATTCACTTTGAATGAGCACCTTGTAACGAGGTGGAAAGGTTTTTTGTGTTTTTGTTTTTCATGCTTAAGTTTTTATTTTAGCTACCACTAGGTGGAAGCACAGATGCATTAAAATCAACCCAGGGACCGTCATGGGAAGCAAAAGTCATGGTTTCTTCGGGAAATGCGCAAAGAAAGCTGTAAAATGTAATAACAATAGTGATGCATTTTGTTTCAGGCGCCTTTCAAAACACTCAAGGTCACCTTACACACGGTTTAAAGAGATGTTCTGATGCGAGAGGGAGTTAGTGATATGGATATTTGCTGGGAGGGAATTCTAGAGGCCGAGAGCAGAGCCAACTCATGATCGAGACCCCATGGTAGAAGGAAGAGAAGGAAGAGGAGGAGATAGCATCGTGTTAACGTGGAGTAACATCTCTGAGGAATGTTTATAGCACCTTGTTAAATTTAAGGTTTGACCCGAACAACAGAATGGCATCAAAAATGCAAAATGAAAGGTCTAGCTGAGTGTATTAATTTTCCAAAAATGTCTTTTACAAACTGCTCACGAACATTGTACAATGACTAGTTGCGCTCATGTCTTTCTGCTTTAGACAGTGCTGAGAGCATTAGGAACCATGTTGACACCATTTTTAAAAATAGCGCAAGCACCTTCTCTGCGTTATGTTTATTATCAAACAGAATATATAGTAATGCCAATACAACTGTAATAGGTGCACGTCAGCACACAATGTCAGAAAATGCTTATTAGTCTAGTCTTCGCTTTTTTGTTACCGTGACCTTGCAAGGTCATATCATGCAGACCGCTGTCAGTCAGCTGTGTCGTTGGGTAAAAGTAGTAGTTTGTGCACATGCCATGACATATAAACGTAATGAAATGTGACGAATGGGAAAGCTACAGTAACAGCAGTCTAATAAATGGAGAGTATGTCAAAGTCTAAGCTCTAAAGAAAGCACACCAAACCAGTCGACATGCTTAAGGTTTCTGAAAGCAGAACTGAAGGTTTTGTTTAAACATTCTGAGGAATCTTTTCACAATCACTGTGCTGTTTTTGGAACAACAGGGTCACAATCGACAGCAACAGAAAGCTTCATATTCTCATGTCCATCCTTTCCACAAGAGCTCTGCTGGCACACAGATCAGCAGTTGGTTTCCATGCATGATTGCATCATTCCAACCTGTCTGTGCTTCTCTTATTTACAGCATCTGCAAGTAGACAGCCACAATGAACCCAGTATACAGCCCTGCACCAACAGGGGTCCCCTTTACCAACACTAAGGGTATAGGTTATCCAGGTAACCTGAAGCATAGTGGTTTAAGAAACAAGCATAATTACAAGAAAATATCTCCCAGCATTGAGAATACTATTATATTCTTGTTTTGTTTCTGGTTTTGGCAGCTGGATTTCCTCTAGGATACGCAGCAGCTGCTCCAATGTACACTCCCAACATCTACGCAGGAGCAAACCCAGGCTTCCCTAACGGTGAGAAGAAAGTAACGATGAAATCTGCCCGAGTTTATCTGATAGATCTTGAAACACATCTTCCTGATGCACTTCAAAAGAGTCAAATTGTTCCAGCTGACTTCTTCATTTGAATTAATTATAAACATAACGTAATAAAGAATAAAAGTTCCAAAGAGACTCTTAATAACCCTAAAAATTGTGCGCGCTTCTCTTCTATGAGGGTCCTGTTTTACTGAGCTGCACAGCCAGTGTTTCTTCCAAGCTTCAGCTATTTTGTCCCAGAACAAACGGCCCTAATATGAGCCGTCTTCCTCCCTCTTCAGGCTATGCTCAAAGTGCTCCCTTCAAAGTGTCCTGCTCTCCCAGCACAGGGACCATCCCACCGTACTCATCCTCCCCAAACCCCTACCCAACTGCTGTGTACCCTGTCAGGAGCACCTACCCCCAACAGAACCCCTATGCACAGGTCAGTCCTTGCTGTATGTGTATATTTTTAATAACACGCTGCCCCTCTTCATCCAGTCTCAGTGCTTGAGCTGTAACGTGTGGTTGTTTGTCCACCAGGCACTAATACCTTCACAACAACAAGGCCCTTACTACACACAGGCTCTGTATGCTCCACCGCCTCATGTCATCCATCACACGACAGTGGTCCAGCCCAATGGGATGCCTGCAGCGATGTATGCCCCGCCTATCCCTCCTCCCCGCAGCAACGGTGTCGCCATGGGCATGGTAGCCGGCACCACTATGGCCATGTCAGCTGGTGAGCTGCAGCAGTTTATTGAATCTTATCCAGGATACAAATGTGTTTGATTTGTAGTTTACCTGTGGCTTTCACTCCTCAGGAACTTTGTTGACAACTCCATCACCAGCGCCCGTCGCTCCCCACCCAGTCACGATGCCCACATATCGGCCTCCTGGCACACCCAGCTACAGCTACGTGCCCCCGCAGTGGTGAAGAGAGAGAAGTGTGAGTATGTTTTAAAAGCATCACAAGTTTGGTCAAAGGTGCAGATTAAAGGTTTACGTTTACACCCGGTGTTCTCTCTGCAGGTCCGGAAGATGGTAGATATGCATTCACACTCCAGTGTTTTTCTCTCGTGGTGACGACCTGCCCCGCCCTGGCAGCGTCCGCTACCAATTCTTCTTCTTCCAGCATAATGTGAATCTAAAACCCAACTACATAGAGTCCCATTTGGATAAGCAGGGGGTGACAAATAGGCCCATCCCCACAACCCCTATTAATGGAATAAGGCTGCATTCCACACCCCCACACCCCCACACCCTCAGCGCCAGCACCTCTACAAACCTGCTGCATATCTCACATCAAAATGCAAAGCCTCCATGCAAACTCTATGTGGACTCTCATGCAGGTTTTTATAGCTTAAATTCGTATGTAGTGAAAAAGGAGTTTGGAATAGTTTTTTTTCTCTTTAATTTGGGGGATTAAATATGATGTTGAATGCATGTGTATATATAGATTTACAAAGTAATGCTAGCTCAATTCTCCCTGCTGTGACAGATGCAAATTCAATAAAAGGCACAAATCCAAAGGAACTAAGAAAAAAAAAAAAAGAGTAATAATCTGCAATGCTGAATCACCAGTGACTACGTCTTAAATGTGAAAGAAAAAAAAAAACAGACGAGAAACGTTTATTCATGCAAAAACATACCTGCGCCGTCCATCGCAGGCCAAACTGTACTATTTTTCACCGCTTTGTGTTTAGGTAAGTGGTTTTTATCGTTTTCTTTCAGTGATGCAGTGTTTGCATAATGTCTTACCATTTTTGTATTGTAGGAACAAAAGATGGGACTTTGAGTTTGTGCCTCTGTGACTGGTGGCCATTCCAACACTTTTACTGGCCTGTTAAACTTTCTTTTTTCTTTTTTTTTTTCTTTTAAACAAATGGTGTTTCAGTTTCTTTTTTTCCCCCAAAAGTCTGAAGCTGCTCCTGCTTGGGTGATATATGATGTATTCACTTATTTTAGCCAGAAGTGTTCTTGGTGGGGAACAAGTATAGGAAGTTATTAGAAGTCAATTGCACCCATTTAATAAGAGTGGATGAGCAGGAAGTGTGTGTGTGTGTGTGTGTGCATGTGTGTGAAAGCGGGACTCGAACGGAAACCATTCTGAATGGTGCCATACAGTGCAACATGCTTAGAATTTTAGACTTACATGTCACTCTAATGAATTTACTCTTAGGCAGATTTGAAGCACTACATCATTAAATCACCGCTCAACGTGGACATGTTAGGGCACCGTAAT